GGTGGTGGAGAAGGCAGAGGAAGAGAAAGAGGAAGAGGAGGAGGAGGAGGAGGAGGAGGAGGAAGAAGAAGAAGAAGAAGAAGAAGAACCGGTCTCGGCCTATGCAGAAGCGGGCTGTTCGCTCGGCCCGCCTAAGCCCATCTGTAGGGCTTGAAAGCACGTCTGCATGAGCAAGAGCTTATCTTTTGGAGCAGACGGACCACTGCTGAGGCCGCTCGCTCCTCTGTCCATTCACGTGTATGCCTGCCAGGCACGGGGCGATGGATTCTGTCACTGTTTGGCTGCCTGCATGTGGGTGAGACAGAGACACAGATAGAGAGAGAGAGAGAGAGAGTAGGGCAAGTTGCGCATTTGAACACGAATGAGCATACACCAGTCAACTCGAGACCGAGAACGCGAGAGATGTGTGAATCGTTTTGTGTATGTGTGTTTGTGGCGATGAGAGAGAGAGAGAGAGAGAGAGAGAGAGAGAGAGCAGAGTGAAAGAGCAGAAAGCTTGATTCTTTTACTTGAATGTTCTCACAGGCGGTCGCAGAAGCATGAGTAGATGAGCACGCACCAGTTGGACCATCTTTTGTTTTTCCCCTCAACTTGGTCTCTACTTTGAGCGCCCACAAACACACACACACAGACACATACTTGTGTGTGTGTGTGTGTGCGTCTGTGTATGCGTGCTCAAGACATGGTGGGATAGATAAAGTGTAGACAGATAAGGTCACGGGCGAGCGAAGGCTGGGGAAGAGGCAGGCCGACAACATGGACCTACCTGCCCGCCCGTCTGCCCGCTTGAGTCCCTGACGGGCGCCCCTTCTGCCAAGGCCGCATTGTCAGTCCGGCTGGGCCAGCCAATGGCGTGTGACCAACCGGCCCGGTTTGAGCAGGGCTTAGTCAACCAGATCGAGGCCAGTGAGGCCAACTCCCGCATACACACACACACAGGCACACACAGGCACAAGCAGAGAGAGGCACGCCACACACAGACAGCAGACGGGGCGGCAAAACGGGTCGGTGGTAGACGGTTGGCTGAGAGACGGCGAGTCCGGCGGGCGAGACTTTGAGCCGACTGGGTGGCATCCAGTCGGCTGGGGGAGTCGGGGCCGCGATGTCTGGTTGAGCCGAGAGCAGCAGACAGTCGAGATAAGCTCAGAAAGCAGTCTTTTAGACCCACTGCAACCGGCTGGGCCACTCAGGTCTTTTGGCCTCGTAGGCAAAAAAGGATTGACTCAGCACATGAACTGTTCTCAAGTGGGCCCGGCTGGAGAAGATGGCTAGCCCGAGCGGACGGGGATGAGAGAGAGATACATACAGACACACACACAGAGAGAGAGAGAGAGAGATAAGAGAGGAGACGACCAAGCGAAAAGGAGAGCGAGTGTGCGGTGTGTGTGCGTGTGTGCGTGTGTGTGTGTTGAAAAAGAAATACGATGCAAAAAGAGAAGAAGCAGGAAGGCTGAAGAGAAGAAGCGAGTCGCCGGGAGAAAAAGAGAAGGAGAGCGCAAGGCCGAGGTTGGAGCCAGTCCCCTGACCGAACCCACTCGCATGGACTCGCCCCCTCCATCCTCCGGAGTGGGCTTCTCTTGATTTATACGCCCCGTCGGCTCGGCTTGATTGACTCCGGCCCTCGGCTGCTCGGCTGTTCGTCTGTTTGGCTGTTCGGCTCCAAGGCCGTCGAGCCATGCCGAAAGCCGCGTCCGGTTGATCCGGCCCTAGCACCCGAGGTAGTGAAGGCAATCGATTGGATTGAGTCGGTCGACTGGACGACCCAGGTTATTCCCTGGCCCAGGATACCTCCCAGCCCAGGGCCGCCTTGTCTTCTGGCCATCTTGACGACCCGTCTTTGCGACAACCAACAGAAGCACGACTCTACTTTTTGCTTTTGCTCGTTTCAGAAGCTCCGGCTTTCTCTCACGCACACACACATGCATACACACAACCACCAATGTGTCACACTTTTCCCCACTCTGCCAAACTTTCTCCGGCCTATTGGACTGTATACTTGTGTGTTTGTTGCATGTGCGTGTGCATGTGCGTGTGCGCGTGTACATTCTAATTGCTACCTGCACTATTGTACATCCGATTTGTCAGTCGGTCAACCTCTTCG